GCGCATACACAATGACATACAGTGGGGTGATGGTAGTTTGAAGTGAGAAGTTGTGACATATAGTGGGGTGAGGGTAGTTTGAAGTCAGAAGTCCACTGCCGGTTTATAGACTTTTTGCCGTATGAGTATACTTTGTAACATACAGTGGGGTCATGGTAGTTTGAAGTCAGAAGTCAAGATGTCAACTGCCGATTAATAGACTTTTTTGCCGTATGAGAAGTGATAAGTCAACTGCCGGTTAATAGACTTTTTTGCCGTATGAGTGGGTTGCCCAGGGTGCACCGCGTGGAGGTAAGTCTATCGCAACAACTGCCGGTTAATAGACTTTTTTGCCGTATGAGTATACGGTGCCCAGGGTGCACCACGTGGAGGTAAGTCTAAGTATACGTTGCCCAGGGTGCACCACGTGGAGGTAAGTCTATTGAGCACCCCACAAACAGAAGATAGGTGGGTTGAAGAAGACAGACTTTAGAGCCGGTGGGATTTCCTTTCGAGTTAGCACTGTCAACCATGGAGGGGGGGGGGGGGGNGAGCATTTTTAGCCGTCTCCCTATGCCCGGTGGTAGTAACCGATTTGGTTTCCGCCATGTGAATCGGTGACGTTCGAAACGATAGAATCTATTTACTGCAAATATTTTTTTAATGTCATTTTGTTGTGGGAATTAGAACATGATCACGTGAATAAGTATAGTGCTCTTAAATTCTATCCACTGCTTCAGATAGTTTGTCGTAGTTTAAAGACCGGTGCATCTCAAATGGAAGTTTTGCCGCACATGGTCAACGGAAAATTTAACTTTTATCCTTCCTCCATAAGAAGCTAACGTCTTCGATAACATGATACAGCACATTTGGCAGCTATCTGCTTCGAAATAACTTGAACTCCTGTTGAGTCACAAAACGCAATTCTTCCAGGGAAATCCGTCAATGTCATTGCTGATGAAATTCACCTCATGGATCTAGATCACTCCTTGTAACGCCCTCCCTCCCTCTCCCTCCTCCAACTATCTAGAACTGTTTCTGATCCAAAGCCAGTTCCAGAACTAGCAAAAAGTCACTTCCAACCCTTCTTTACTCTTTGAAAGCCTACCACCAAATGCTTCTGCCACTAAAACCCATTGCGATGTTTCAGCCAGTAAGCCGAGATCCTTTGTCCCGAAAGCACACCGCCTTTCGTCTGTGGGACACACATTGCCTCACTTGACTAGATGGCAAGATTCTCAAACACACTCAAGGTCCATTCTCCTTTTTCCTCCTCCTGATGGTGGTTTTCGCCGTTTTCAAGTTGATATTGTGGGCCCTCTTCCTCTCCTTCAAGCCCTTTATCTCACATATTTGCCTGCACCGGTCGTTAAAATTCCTTAATGAGATATCTCGTCTGAATCTGTGGCTTGAGCTCTTGTAGAATCTTACCTCCACTTGGCACATCTTGGGCAACGTATACTCATATTGCAGAAAAGTCTATAAACAGACAGTTGACTTAAAACTAACATGACCCGACTCCATGTCATATTCGACCACTTCCACAGTACTCATCATACCCTTTTCTCTACCATTATGTCTATCTTCTTTACATCTATGAATTACTCTTCTGCTCATCCCCTCCACTTTTTGTGACTTTGATGTTCCTAGCTTCTGTGAAACTCGAAACCAACTAAAGGGCTAATGATAACTACCATAAGGCCCACCATTTGATAAAAATAAATAAAGCCCTAGTAGAATATTAGATATATATATTTGCTGTTCCAGCAGTAATCACAACAGATAGTGGATCATAATTCAATTCTGCTGTGTTTCGGGAGTTGAGTCATCTCCTAAGTCTATCACGCATCCGCACTATAGTATACCTCCCAGTTTCCAATGGTATCGTAGATGGTTTTCATCGACAGTTTAAATCAGGTATAATCGTAACTTCCTCTAGATTATATTGGTCTAAACCTCTTCCACTAATTCTGCTTGCAATTAAAAATATCATCAAGGAAGACCTTGGATGCTGTTTTGTGGCTCATTTTTTGGTACAACTCTTAGAATACCTGGTAAAATGATCCGCAACTCCCAAGAGAAAGAAATTAATGTTCTCCTGTCGTATTCCGCTCTCCCAATACCCACCTGTTTTAATGTTGGGCCGACTTATTAACATGTGCATTCCTTTTGTTCGAGTAGATGGCGTAGTGAAACCTTTGTAGCCACCGCATTACGGAACATTCAAATTCCTTAAACGCCAGCCCGAATTCTTTGTCCTCGATCGTGATAGATCTGCGGATTCAATATATCGAAATCCAAAGTGAAGTATTTTCTTCTAAAAGTCTCTCATTATTTTATTTTATGACAACAGTCGTCATTCCTCATTCGTCATTCTCATTCTTCATTCTCAAACTAGGTTCATAGTAGGACCTCATGGAAGGTCTGTGTACCTACTCCTAACAACATTGCCCATTTAACAACGACAAACAACATGGCAGTTGGTGGATCGAACTTCTACTTTAGAACTGAAGTTGAAATAACAATCGTCCGCTTTAAAAGATCTCGCTTATTTCTTTATCTTGTGGAATTTTTTTAAGCAAATTAGTGGCTTGTGTAGTTCAGAGCGTTTACAACTAAGCTCTCAGTTGGGCATTATCGCTTTAAAGTGTTTATGGATGTTGAAGTAATTTTCTGATTCTCAGAATTAATTGGTGAAGGCTAGGGTTGTTAATAAGCTGTGCATCACTTCCTTTCCCTTGGCTACTAGAAAGCTCGGTAACCCAGTGATACTTCCAGCTGCATTCTTTTTGTGTCTGCAACTTATTGTGTTATCCCATTAGTGAACTTGGCTAACTTTTGTCTGTTATAGCAGTTCGATACTTCTTTAGAATGTTCAACTTATATAAGCATCTGATAAAAGAGGAATGTATTGTTACTTTTAACAATACAGAACAAATTAGGAGATCAAACAATTTATTTATTCCGATTCATACATTACCAGGCTTGAGTTAATTTACAGGTTTGTGAAATAAGGAAGAATCTGTAGCGCACTCCGATAGACCCGAAGGGGTGGACGTGTTACTTCACGTGGGGAGTAAGAGCAGTCATGAGCGCTGCAACCATCCAGCCAACCGCCAATCATTAGTCCCTACTTGGTTTAACAAGCCCTCCATTGTACTATAGAGACTAAGCTCACTAACTGTAATACACAACCAAAATTATTTGAATAATAAATTAATTAATCCTTAATTAATGCTTGGAGTTTTAACGAACTGGGAGATCTCGCTACAGAGGTTACTGAGTATAAGTCAATGCTGTATCCTCGAAATCATATAGTTTGCTACAAGCAAATAACCATAAATTAATAAATAATAAAATTTCTTGCATACCAGAGAGAACACGGGATGAGCAGACTTGCGACGGATAAACAATTTAGGTGATATTGTCAACTTGAAGTGTTACGGCGAATATTCACTCAAACTATATTAATGGTAAAGAAGGAAATGAAGCTATACTGGGAGAAATTGATATGATAAATTAGTAAGGGATAAAAATATGAATATAATTTTTCGGAGGAAAAAATTACAGTGCACTAAAAGGATGCCACCCAGGTCTATCGCGTGACATCAGAATAATCAACACCTCCAATGCCGATTGAAGTAATCTCGCTTGCACTAACATGTTCTGGGAAGTGTGATGTGCTTGTTGAGGCTTTCTCAGCTAATAAGATAATAACGTGCATTTGAAGTATCATTAATTGCATTTAAATATTGTTCATAATTAAATAAAATAGGATGTTTGCAACAATTGACGTAATTAGCTAAGTCTAATAAAACGCCGAATTTTATTGTTTGCGCGATGATTGCTACTCAAACAATATGAACCGCAATAAAGAAGTTTAAATTGCAAAGCAGAGAACTAAATTAGAATTGGATCTTAGTAATGGTACCACATTTCAATCAAACATTAACAGTCTGGAATGATAAGAATTCGGTGAATCTCAAAAACGGTATCCGACCAAAGCTATTGATACGTAAGCAAGATATCGTTGATAAGGAAACAATGATGTGCCACGATTAATTATTTATTTATACAATATATTTGCTTGTGATTGAATTATGCTGAAATTTCTGGTTTGTTCTGGAGATGTGAATCAATGTTAATTTCAGTTTCTTTGGCGTTAATTTCCATTCCAGCGCTTAGCACCCAATCTTACTGCATATGTATGCCTATGGTAACATTTATCTTTATAGAGAAAAATTAATTCGTTATGTGTGTGCATTAAAATGTGTTTGTTCGAAATTTGAAATTTACTTAGCATGACGTTGAAATGTAAATCAAACTTTAATATTATTAAATATTCCAGCGTGGATAGTCTTTAGAAAACACTTTTTAAATTCTTGCTCACAAAGCCTGCAAAATATTGCATCATTCTAGCAAATAGAATTCTGACGTCCTTGGTTGCCCGACGGAAAATCCAGGGGACAATTAATTTACCTTAAATACTAATTCTTATTGAATTAACAGTACATTGTATCCAGGCCATTTTAAATCTTATCTGCTGTGCATCATTTTAATTTTTAAAGTGGGCGAGTAGAAATATAAGCATTTAGTTGAACTTTGCAAAATTTACTTCGATACTCGAGATAGAAGCAATAAATATTAGTTTTTTAATATTTATAGCAGGTATGGAAGAATATAAAATTTAATGATTATGCAATAAACATACACATAGTCTCATTTCTTTTTTTAGGTTGCTTTGTGAGAGCGTGCGTCAAATACACTATTTTGTGATACAGCAATTTTGGTTTGTACAAAACGCAATTTTTTTCCAATATTCGTTAATTTATAGTTTTCCTTTTAAATTTATATTTATAATTAGTATTTTTTAATTTTAATAATTTAAAGTCAGCATATTGTTGCTGCTTTCTTGATTTGTTGACAATGATATTTAAAATATTTCCGTTATAGCTTTAAAAATCTTGTTTTATATCGCTTGCTACTGTGTATAAATTCATTTATAACCTATGTTATAGATTATGCTTGTTGATACTAAGGCTGTTACGGAAGAAGCCTTAGTCAAATCTCCTGTTGATGGGGAAGAGCCAAAGGATGTTGATTTGCTTACGCTTGAGGACATTCGTGATCAGATACGCTATATTGAAAAATCAGTTGCCACCAAAGAGTTGCATTTCATGACTCGCGTTCTTCGTGGTCTAAATACGATTCGCCGTAAACTAAACAGCAACGTTTTGCGTGGTCTTGTACACACCTATTTTGTACCTCAGTCTCAACAGTGGAATTATTTTATGGAGTTCCTTCCAGAGGTAACCAGCGTCATTTAATATCGGTTAACATGTGTAGGCTATGGATGCTCCGCCCAAATTGAATTTGAAGCCGAAAACTCAAAAATCTGGTTCTCTCTTACCAGAAGTTGAAGTATATCTACACCTTTTATTGCTAATGCATCTATTAGATGGAGGAATGACTAAAGAAGTATGTCTAGAGTATGAAATTTTACATATTTACTGCGGGTTTCGTTTTATTTGTTCATTACTTTCCAGGCGACGAATTGTTCATCCCTTTTAATGGAAAGAACCCAAGAAACCGGTCGAAGAAGTATGGCTGTACTGGCTAGTAGGTGTTTCTACTTCCACAGCAGAGCTTTTGAGTTGGATGATAGATTGGAGGAAATCCGTTCTTTCCTTCATTCTCGTCTTCGTTCAGCTACTCTCAAGAAAGTACGTCACTTTTTTTGTATTTTGATTTTACTTTTCTTATCTATAATTGGTGTTTATTTTAGAATCACGATTGCCAAGCTGTGCTGGTTAATTTGCTATTGAGGAACTATCTTCATTATAATTTACATGATCAGGCCTCTAAACTTGTTAGTCGCGTTGAGTTTCCTGAATCGGCTCCTAATAATGAATGGGCACGCTTTTTGTATTACCTCGGTACACACTTTAGTCTTACGAACTTACTTATGCTTTTCCGTGTTTTAACATATTTATAACTTTGTATTTGGAAGGCTTCATCAAGGCTATTCAGCTGGACTACAACGCTGCCCATGATCATCTTGTATCAGCAAACAGAAAGGCTCCACAGCATACAGCTATTGGATTCAAACAGGCTCTGCACAAACTGAATACCGTTGTAGAACTTTTATTAGGGGAATTGCCTGATCGTAGTATTTTCAGACAGCCTGAGTTCAAAGACGCTCTGCATCCTTACTTTCAACTCACTCAATCTATACATGCTGGTGATTTGGGTCAATTTAACAATGTCCTCAAGACTTATTTGAGACAATTCAACCATGATAAGACCTACACTCTTATTCTACGTCTTCGTCACAACGTTATAAAAACTGGTGTTAGGAGAATTTCCTTAAGCTATTCGAAGATTTCTCTCACCGATGTTGCTGAGAAGTTACAGTTAGACAGTGCTGAAGATGCTGAGTACATTGTTGCTAAGGTGATTTTAAAAGCTTATCGCAGTTCCCTTTTTACTGTTATTTATAGTGGTGCTTTTCCTTGAACCTGTAGGCTATTCGTGATGGCGTTATTGAAGCTGTGATTAACCGTGAACATGGCTACATGATTACAACAGAAGCGAGTGATCTCTACTCAACTCGTGAACCGGTGCATCAATTCAATCAACGCATCAGTTTCTGTCTTGGAATCAGAAACCAGGGAATTAAGGCCATGCGATACCCACCCAAGAAGTATGACAATGATTTGGAATCCGCTGAGGTTAGCAATGGGTTATCAAAATGCAATGATGCTAACCATTAAGAATTCTATTGACTAAGTAACTTCAATGCTATGCTCTATTAGGACCTAACGGATGTTATTTATGTACCAATATTAATAATTCTTATCGTTGATTTTGTAAATAATGGATTTCTAACTTGTTGTGCAAGATCAACTCCACCGGCATATCAGGGCATTTTGATTTTTAACTTCATTTTGTATTTATTAAGATTGAATGTACGTCGACTGAGAATCTATCACAAATTCACGGATGTTTTCCTTAAAGGCTATGGTTACTTGACATCAATGTTATTTGCTTTTAGGAGCGCCGAGAACGCGAGCAGCAAGAGATGGAAAGTGCAAAGGAGCTCTCTGAGGATGATTTCGATGGTTTCCCCTAAAAGGGACTTTCATAGGTCGCTCACCCTCCCCTCTTTTCGACTGTTATAATTAAAGTTCGTTTTGTCAGTAAATCCCCACACACCTCGGGTTGTATCTTTATAAATAATTGACTTCCGTGAAATCTTTTTTCCAATTTTTGAAACTAAATCGAGTTTATTTAGAAATCTCAAGTGCTTTTACACTTCAAAATAAAAATTAAGGACGAAACATAAGTGTGAGACCGCAGTTAGTTAAGTTATATCGTTCGGCATAATCTCTAGAGCTAAAAAATTATTTGGGCTTATCCCGTGGGCAACTGCGAAGGTGTAGCATTCTGTCGTTTCCGAGTGGGTCATCACTTGCCCTTCTGACTATGGACGCTCGGTCTTGGCAGCTATTGGGGTCCTGTCGAGATTTGAAGAAATCTATTGAGAACTGTATAACATCAGCTGGTCTCTGAAGTAATACTTCGCATGTTAAATCCTCAAGAAGCTTCTGAAAGCCATCAGGTAGTTGCGGTCTATCACAAAAGGGCATCGTGGATTTAAATCCTTCCACTTAATGTTAGCGTCTGTTACCATGTAAATAAGTCGCAAAAATGCGTAATGATGCCTTAAAATTGAAAGTTTAACAATTTTCAATTTCATTGTAAAAATATTAGATTATTATTTTAGGATACGTCAGAATAAAAATTTAACATTGGTGATACAGATAGCTAAAACCGAAATGTTTGGTACTGAACATCAAAGGGGGTGATGAGGGCTTTAGATATATTTTTTCGCCACAGTTCAGTAACGTTAATGCTATTTGAGATAAAACTTTGCAAAGCTTTGAATACAAACAAAACACTACATAATAATTTCAAAAAAGTATTAATTCAATTCCACAGGGTCATTGAAAGGAATGGAGGGAGGAAAGTCGATTTATTAATTGCAAGTAGAGCAATTGAATGTCTTAATGTCCATATATGGAGTAAAATAAAATGTCTCAACTAGGTTAAAAGAAACATTTTTTCTTAGTGGACTAATTTCTTGCTTACAAGAAGATCCTGGCTGTAACGAAGATAAAATCCCACTTATTAGAAATAGAACTAATTTATCGCAAGAGAAGTTGGTGATTCTTGTGGGGAGGGGTCATAGGCGTTTCGTAAAGCAAACATAAATATTATTTTTGACTTATAACAAATCAGGAAAAGGAATGATTTAGATTTACGACAATGGAATAGCTCAAGAGAAAAGTAAGAGATAGATTCCAAAGAATATTAATTCGATAAATGTTTTATTTAAAATTTAAAACCTATGTATTAATTGCGTTTTTAAGCTATGATATCCAACTAATTAACTGAAAAATAACAAAGCTAATTATTTAAATGCATCACTTTTAATACGCTGTCGCTTACCGGCTTAATTTAGAAATATAACGATGGTAAGTTGTTCATTGAAATTTTCAAATTTACCATTTATATTTGTTTTGACACCTTTTTACTCTTGCTTCAGCTGAGGCATGAAAATCGAACAAAAGTTTATCGTACACTTGCATTGTTGTGTGAGTCCGAGTCTTTGTCCGATGCTCAATTGAAAGCATATCAGACTCGTTTGCAGTAAGTTATTATTCGTTTTTAATTCCTAGGGAGTACCGAACTTATTTAGAGGCTGTTAGCCGGCTAGCCAATTGCGGAAATGTTTGCATTACGGAAGAGGCCGTTATGATTGGTGACAACGGTCTACTTACTGGAGAGTCCTTAAACGCTCTACAACATGCTGGAGCTATATCAGTTTATAATACTTTGCAGCAGAATAACTGGGAATATCCTGTTCCAGAAGGTTTGTTATTTGGCTTTTTGTTTATTTTCTGTAGAGGGTGAGGTTGCAGTATTGAAAACGCACACAACCGTCCCCGATGATTTTTTGGATTCTGAAAAGCCAATTCGATCCGATTGGCCTTCGGTCTTTGTTTCTGAGTGTTTCGTAGAGGGTGAAAAGGCTAAACTTCATGGTTCCGCTCGTCCACTTCGCACCTTCCTACCACCAAGCATTGTTTTCAGAAGTGCAGCTGACATGGACGATGATTTACCAGAACCTGAATTACCGCCTTCAAGTGCTCTTGGTCCAGAAACTGGTCTTGAAATCGTCTCAATGAATGACAGTCTCGCCATTAGAAAGACCAGGGAAAGCGATGGATCTGTTGGTAAGCTGCATCTGCTTCATGTCCTATTGGCAATAATTATCCCATTCCCTACTTAAGCGGATTTTCTGAGACTCCTTATGTAAAATCGAAGTAATTTTTATTGTGATGATATCAAAATACCTTTCATATAATTGATTTTCTTCTTTATCCTAAACTGTCAGCAATTAAGAGCTTTATTTTACCACATATTAATAGTTTAATAGTTCTTTGTTGAACAAAATCGCTCATTAGTTCCCAATTTATCATGCTTTATTCTTAATTCTACTTTTATATTGGTGTTTTTATTTGCAAAAGTGTATTTTTAATTATAATGCATTCTTACTAAGCCTCTCCACTGTTTTTACTGTCTTGTTCGACATGACACATTTGGTTTCTTTTACTTTTTTGTTCCAAATTACAGTATCCACATGGCCCATGATCTTTTGTTTTTATGATGATTATGCTTTGTGCCTTGGCAATAAAATCTGGGTTTATCTTTTTCTGCAATTTAACACCTTTTCAAGCTTAGCTCGTTCCATCAGGTTTGATAATCTCTTTATTTTCGTTTTTGTCTTTTACCAGAATGCATTCCAATTGATGAGTACTACTACGGTCGTCAGGATGGCAGCAAAGATTACGCCGAGGACAAGGCTGAATTTCGCTTCAAATGTGCTGTTTGTCAACTCATGTTTTACAATAATATCAAACTCATGCATCACATCATGGGTCATGTTGATGAAGGCATTCAAGCTCTAATTGGGTTTACTTTGAACCAATGTCGAATTTGTAATCAATCCTTCGCTAATGCCTTTATTCTTCGTGCACATATGGAAAAGGTAGTGACCTGAGTTTTCTTAAATATTCTGGGTAATTTGGTGGGATGTTTGTTTAGTGCTAAATTATGGCTGTTTTAGGACCATGGTGGTGCGACAATTTTCGAAACTAACAAGACTGATGGAGGTGAAGGAACTCAGCTCTCGGCATCTGGTTTCTCCTGTCGAATCTGTGGTAAGGAGGCAGCTAGTGATCTTGCGCTTGCACATCATCTACAGTCCACACATCGCCAACGTGAAATGCCATATGTGTGTCGCATCTGCCTTTTCCGCTCCTCTCTCTATGAGGACGCTTTAGAGCACTTTAAAAAAGTACACAATGGTTCAAATCACCTACTCTGCTTCTATTGCCTCAGATATTTCACCCCTACTGATGCCCGAGTTCCTGGTATTCCTCTAACCTCTCCTGCTGGCACGTCTGGAGGTGCTGTTAGCACCGCAGGTTTAGGAGCTGGTGTTGGACAGACGCAGGTGTATCTGCAGCACTTGCGAATGCATCAGGTTCAGCATCAACTCCGACGCTGTCCATCATGTCGCCTCAACTTCACAAACAAGTCGGACTACCAGGTGCACCGGCGACTGGACCATAAAGCGGGTAGCAGCTGTAGTGCAGCGGCTGCGGAACAACACTTGAAGGAACTTCAACAGCAGCAGGTTGATGAGCAGTCTCAGATGCATGTACAAGGAGAGGAGCAGGAACAAATTGTCGATCATGTTGAACATGCCGATGAACAGCAACATAACGTTGAGGAATACATTGTAAGTCGTTCTCTTTTTTTAAATTCTGCCATAATTTTTGTTCAATAGGCCCAAAATTGATATATTAATAGTATAGAACCTTGACATTTTCGAAGCCTTCGTAAACGTATCATTGCCCACTTAGTGTTTAGAATGAGTAATAACTCAAGAGGTTTGTAAAATAGGATATTTTTAACTAGTGACTTTCTCAAAATGAGTGTTAGAAAAGTCTCTTTGTAGATAATATCATTAAATTTGTCCCGATGTTCTTTTACTTCCTTTGAGTGACCTTTTGGATACGTGTCTTTGTAATTCAAGCCTATACCATTTGAACATCAATTGTTTAGTAGTTTTGCGTTTATTTATCTTCAAAGCTTGTAGTGATGTGTTTACTAGGTTTATAGAAATCTAAATTGGCAGTTACTTAACAAGTAGCTGTTCATAATTTGATCGCTACTCGAATAGTTATAGACATTCGTCCTCTAAATTTATGCAGTGAAAGTGGTACTTCCTTGAAAAGTTTAAATTTTTATGCTTTCCTTCTCTTCATCATTTATTCCATTTGCTTATCTAGGGAAAATAAGTTTAGCGTATACCTTAAAGCCTCTCTTTTTGTGAGGTTTTTTTTTCAGTTGCTCCGGTTGGTGAAGCTTTTGTTCTAGATCCCGTTTGTGGAAATTCCTGTCTCGAAAGTTTATGGTAAAGGAATCAGGGTGTTGAAGCATGATCTCGGAGCTAGTTCTTCACTAATCTTTGTCCTGTGAAATCATAATACTAAAATCAGCTTTCTCACAGTGTTCAGTCTTTTTTATCAAACATTGTTGATATCGTTTTTCAAATTCCTAAGGTCATTAGAAAGAGTGCTCACAATACATAACTGTAGACTTGCTTTCTTCCATTCTTATTTTTTGGGAGGACTAATCAGTGGGGGTGGGGGTGTTCCATCTGCGCACATGAAGATCTCAATAGCCTCTTGTTTGTATCCAGATATTTATGAGTCCGATGTGTCTTTGTTGAAATTGTATTACATATTTTTAGACGACAGCTGAGTCTATAAAGAGACACCAACAAGAACGCCAAGCTGCTCTACAAGCGGCTAAAAGAGCAGCTCAAACTCATGCAGCTGAGCAGCAAAAGAAAAAGGCCGCTGCCGCGGCGGCGGCGGCGGAGGCAGCAGCGGCTGCTGAAGCAGAAGAGAATCGTGTAATTCTTCTTAATGTTCCCGAAGCGAGTCGCACTATGGATCTCTCCTCTGTGCAGATTCCGCCTGAAGCCACCAAGCTCACTTGTCTGGAATGTGGGGAACTTCTTACTTCAGACAATCACAAGTAAGTGAATTAGTCTGAATTGGTCTAAGTTAGAGACCTTATGGAGAAAAGACAAGTTAATATGACGTTGCATAAAGCCCATTAGGCGTATGAAAGGGAGATATAAGTATTGAGAAGCAGGGGTGCGCGCTGATGATTGTTAGCTTTCCATTTCCTGTCATGCGACTTATTATTCCCACTCCATTGAAGTATCACTTTTATGCGCCATCATTTTCCATTCATTTTTGGCACCGTTTTGCAACGACATATTTTAAAATCTCTCGATCTCTGATTTATACACTACATTTGTCATTGTGTTATAAGTTTTACCAGAAGTAATTTTGGGTAATCGAATCCTTGTTCTATTCTAGACAATACCTCCCCTGCTCTGCATGTGTCTTCGCAACGTGCTGCGCTGCCGGTTTTACTCGACATGTGCATCGTGCCCACGTCTACGCTCAAGGCACTGATAAGAGCGTTGCCTCACACACAGGCGCTCCTATGGTTCGTCCGATTGCATCATTCGATTGGATTTCTCCAACTACCGAACAACCCATGGATATAAGCCAATTGCCACAGACCAATCCCGTTGATATCAGCTTCGCATGTCCTAAGTGTGCGCTCTCTGGTGTAGACGGAAATACTCTAGCCAGACATCTTGTTGAAGAGTGCAGCATTGAAGGTGCTACACTCCAGCCTGATCCTTCTATCGTCGCAGCCAGAAGGCAAGCTGAAGAAAATGCTCGTTTACAACAAGAGCAACAACAAGAACAGGTACCTCTTATTGTAATAGTATAAGTAGTTATTTATTTCCAGCATGACTTACTCTATAACAAGGGTAACGGCTTCTGGATTTTTCCGCTTAATTAATTTAGGTAGTGCGAAGGTCATTATGGTAACTTTTCTATTGTCCAGTTTTTATCAGACATTGGATCACGCCATTCCTACTTATTTAACATTTACCACATATTTAATATGTCAAATTTATCGTTTCTGTTCCATTTGGAGATGTCTTACGAGACAAGTGAACAAGTGACTATGTTTGCTGAAGGCCAAGCCGTATCCGAATCTGCACAAGCCGATACAACAGCAGCTCCTGGAGCGCCTTCTTTGACCCATGAGCAAACAGTGGTCACATTGGGAACCGCTGGAAATCTTCCATCCACTATTGATATCACTGATACTTCGGGTGAAGTAGTTCAACGTCTAATGATTCCTGAAGATCTACAGTTGGAGCCCGGACAAACTCTTGTTCTCATTCAAGGCGAAGACGGTATTCCACAATTGGCAGTTATCAACCAAGCCGGTAAGTGTTCAATAGATATTATTCATTTTCAACTGTAAATAAATTCTATAGTGCTATTTTGTATCATTAGGAATACAGGGGTCGAAGTCAGATTGATGATATCCAATTTTTTATGCTTAGGTCTGGTAAATTCTTGAACTTATTAAATAGTGGATTTGCATTTCAAAATCTGAACAAATAGCTACTTAAAGGTTTTACTCAGCCTGAAATGGTTGTCTTTATTTCAGCATTTTTAAAAAAGCCTTAGAGATGCGGGTTCATACTTGCCGTGGTTAACAGTGGTGATGCAGAGCAATTTATTTGGGGGGATTCTTAACTGCTTAACGTCGGATTATGGCTTGTTCGCTTGTCGACTATCTGCCATGGGACCAATAAAGCCGCTTTCTTATTGTTGGAATGAGAAATGCAATTTGTGTTGCTCATTTTGAGATAAAATACTGACAATCTGCGCCTTAACAAATAGAGTGAGCCTTGTCTTGACCTGACGTGGGATGGTTTTGGGAAAGTAAGCAAATATTGCATTGTGGTGCTTAAGAACCCTTTGCTTTATAAGATAGTAGCTTGTAGTACATGTGATTCTTTCCTTTATTAACTAAAGGTGCTAATTAAGCATTCTATTGAAGTTTTCCCTCCCTCCTCTCCGAAAGTACCAGTTTCAAGTCCTTAAACTCGCCCTATCAAAAGGCACTGCTCTGTTTATACTGAATAGCATTGAAGTTTAAGTAGTTTTGGCATGATTGTCATTCTGGGATATTTTTGTACGACTATTTAAGCTATCAGCTTTTACTATCTAACTTGGCTGCATCAATCTGCAAGGAAATTGAGAGGAGAAAATTTCTAACATCTATAAATGGTATTAGCGTCTAATATGAGTGGAGAAGAGATATCCTAGAGTCGCTCTTATGAGGAATTCGCAATCTACCACTACTTGTCAATAGGGAATAACGAGTGCAGTTGTTCATCCACATCAGTGGATGTGCGCTGATATGGATGTTGATCTCTTCTCACTCATGACTCATCAGGCTTGCATGTTGACCATCACTTCATTGGCACATAATTTCAGCCAGATCTTGCTTCAGAACTGAGCCACATTTATTGATCTCCAAATTTGACACATAATAAGCCTTATTCAAGGAAAAGCCCGCGAGCGGTGGCATTCGTATAAAACAAGGACAATTTACATGATAACGAGCAAAAGGGAGCCATTAATTCGTACCGGGGTTTTCCGAAAGTTCGCCCTTGGAGTCTTCCGTTTAACCGCCCTGAGCGAATTTTCGGGAAACCCCGGTAGTCCATTCACTTATTAATAAATGCACCTGTGCCCAATGTACTATCCAGGAGCCAAGATTGAACTCCTCGACTACAGTCGTGAGTTTCGAGCTTTTAAGCTAAAGCTCTCGTTATTTGCAGGAAATACATATGTGCTATATTTAAAACTGCTCTCCATAACGAACTGGTCGAAATATTTAACAAACTCCTTATTTTATGGTAACTCTTTCTGCGCCAAAAGCTATCTCCTATAATATCTCGTTAGTCACTTTCAATTTCATCCGGTTTTTGGAATTTGTTGAGGGCTTTATAATCGCTCCTTGAAAAAATGTAGTTTTTTTTTAATCTAATGGTCTCTCTTTTATAGAATGGGACGCGACAAATCAACAGCAAGCTCAAGCTGAGGACGACGCTTCTAACCTCCTGCTTTACGGAAATGTGCGTTCCTCTTTTAACTAGCGTGCATTTAAGGACTGAATTTTCATTTAATTTTGTTTTTATTTATAATTTGTTTAGGCTGAAGGCGATATCGCGGAGGAGAAGGAGAATCAAATATAAAGCGCGAAAGATGATTGCTCATTGTGTTTGTGAATTTGTAGACACATTTTTTAATCCCCAATAACGTAATCGAGTTTACACCATTTATGTATGAAAATTATGTGTTAAAAATAAATTTTGGTAATCATTTTTGGGTGACTTGTTGGTTTCTCTTACCCCTATTTGGGAAAGTAGGTTTCCATTGAGATGTGATGGTAAAAACCGCAATATGGCTGAAAACGGATTTATTTGACACTTTTAATACCAAAATTTTGCCATTTTAATATATCACGATTAAACTTGTGTTCCAAGTTCCTTTTAGGGGAAAAAAACAACAATCAATTAATCAACGTCGAGAGAGAGAGTATCACAGTTTCGATGTAGAAGCAGTTGCATTTGATTGTGGAGAGATGCGCTGGAGGAGATGCTGTATCCAAACATCTTCGGGGATTTCCTTTGCCCATGCTGGCAAGCATGTTTCAGGCAATTTGAAATCGCTCAGACAGGCCTTGATTTCTGTCGCTTTTTCTAAAATAAGTAGCCAGTGGTTGTCATCCATCTATTACCTCTGAAAAATTGTGTGTGTTCTCTTTACTATGTCTCCTTGTGAACATAAAGGAAATGGAGACTTGGTTCACCGTAATGAAACTTAACCTTGATGTACTTCTAAAAGTACATTAAAATTGCAACCTTCAAGGGCAAACAAAAAATTAAAGAAGAGGCTGCCTAGAATTGGATGAACGAAATGGCTAAAGCTAAGCTGCTGAATATCAGCATGCAAGATCATGTTGCATTCACCGTTTGGAGAAAAAAGGTAGCGTCAGAATCGACTCTTCTTGATAAATAGGGAATGAACTTCGTAGACAATTATAACACCACTATTATTGCTCTTGTCTGTTCTTTCTATTAACCGAAATCGGTTGATTACAAAAAGCTAAGAAACGCCTAATTCTTTCACATTAGTGATAGTCACTAACAGCAATGACAAATAAGGACTTTATCTCATAATTCCGTAGGACCTCTGAATATTCATATTTTTTGTACGAGTTTTCATGTATTCAGTCAACTCACCATCAGGAAGAGGTATTCGTTGATCCGCATCCTTTCTAGGTTCATTCCACAGCAGAGCTGGTGATGACTCATCTGGTTCGTCTTTAGGCTCCTCCTAGAAGCCAGTCGAATGCCAATTATTAAACATGAGACAACTTTAAATGGTATACATTATTAATTACCGAAACTGGGAATGATCCAAAATGTGTCCCATCAGAGTTCAACACTCGCATAAGGGCTTCATCAACTCCCGTATCATCTAGAGGAATGGTACTCCCATTTTCTATTTCTTCCTCATCACTGCTCTGACTGGATACAATAGCATTCTCCAACAGGGTATATCCTGCATGTTCAGGTGAGGAGGATACCGACTGACCGTCAAGATCATCCAATACATCGTCTTGAGGTCCTACTGGGGAGGATGGTGTACTCCCTTGATCGCTACGTATTGCTGTGTCACGCATCTTTGGACGTCTTTTCTTCAAAAATACATTATTGATTTGCATGGGAATATGCTTAAAATACAACACAAAAATACAAGCATTCGCAATTACAAAGAGAAGAAATAACACTGTAGCAACCCGGATTAGAGAACTTGTATTCGGTAATTTCTCTATTGACCTCAATATTAGCCCTGCCTGCTTGTCAAACTATACTCATGGGATATATACAGAAGAGTCCAGAAGTGGGAGGGGGGGGGAGCCTTTAGCTACGACTATCATGTTCTATACATTGGAGGTAACTCCAAGTAATCTAGCAGAGTATGGAAGTATTATCAGGCATCTTGTGCCCTCGGTGAAGCAATAACGCTTATAACTGCCAAAAGGGGAACAAGAGATCATGAGTTCAAAACTCATTGATCTACACACGGCATTTGAAGTGGCCATCCGTATTTATTCGAACAACAGAGATACGACAATCCGAATTGGCGGGAAATCAGGATAAAATCTGTCCATAAGTGTCCTTCATTACTTGAATACAGTGATTCGACTGGCAAAGAATTATATGGTTTATGCTGGCCTGCAGAGAACCAAATGCGATTCTTTCAGTCAGATGAGTTCCAAAATATTAACTTTTCTGATTAGGAAACTCAGACCTCAAACAAGTACATCACAACATTCAGTAGGATCGAAGACAGAAGCCGAATAACTATTTACAAAACTGTTTTATTGAGGTATCAATGATTATCTAAGTATAAACAATTCATTCACTACAAAGCAAAGGACGATCGTTCCTGAGAAAGCTCTACTTCATCTCCGGAGTACTGTCTAATCCATAGACGTAATTGTTGGCGATTTCAAGAAAGAGCTGCCGGCAGTTGACCTCGGCGCCTAGTTTACCACAGAGGAGAAAGCAGCCGGACATTTTACGGTGAAGAGAATAGGTTTCAGGGGGAGGTGGAGTGAGACGGTGCTCGAGCATCACTGGGATGATGCTGTTGATCCGTTTGGTTGTGGACTGACATCCAAAATTGAAAGGCTTTTCGGAGGAGAATGGTTCTCCCAAAACACGGACGGCTTCCACGTGAGCGTCTAGGAATACCTATTCGTCGAAGGGTAGACTTAGTTTAAGAGGATAAGGAAGGGAAATCGATGAAACAGATAAAAAAAGAGGCCACACAAAAGACCCTGTAAGCAACCAAGCACATTATTACCTCGTGGCAGAGACATCCTTGCCTCAATGCAAAATGGATTATTCGAATTAAGAGGAAACAGTAGCCACTGATGTAAAACCATCTTCATATTCCTTGCAGAGGAAGAGGGTTGTTTCCATTCAGCCTAGGCGGTTGTGTTCTCTCACAGCTTAAACACTTTAATCCACCTTAGTTTCAATTTAGAACTGCTATACATCTTGAAGACTTTACACCCTTACACACTAACTTGTCCCGTCTAGATGTTTGCAAATAAATGCTTATATATACATCACACTTCCTACAGTGCTCAAATCCGCAAAGTTCACGTTGTATCAAGGGACGAGTACATTGAGCTGACAATCTCTCTGTCGGCCAACACCTTTATCGATAAGCTCCTGAAAGCGTGACAGTTACTATGGTCACCTTTTTTTAGCTGAACCTTCAAACCTCAAAAAATGGAGATAATCTCTATTCATACAAGAAGAATTGAATTTAATAGACCATTGTAGTAACTACACTCCCATTTTGTCTCTCTCCAGGTCTGATTAGTCTGCAAACTAGCATTACTTTAAAGCCAGAGTGTGTGAAGCTGTATTTCACAAAAATGGCATTATACAATTGTTCTCCATTCAGCTTTCACTCCGCTAATTGTTCAAGAAGAGCATTCATTTTGTAAGAAGGTATTTTTAAGCCATACTTTGTAGGACTCGAGGTACTTCCTCATAAGAGGAATTCGTCATTAACCTAAGACAATCTATGAAACTCTAATATACGAGAAGTCAAAATGATATGGCGACGCAAATTCACGCAAATTGAGAACCGTATGAGGCATTAAAAAAAGTATTAAAAGAGGAGGGGGGG